GAAAAAATGGAAAAAAAGTCTTTGTAAATAGGGAGGGATGGAGGGGTTGAAGGGAGGGCAGGGGAAGGGGGAAAAATAAAAACCAAGAGAGATTACATAGAGATGCAAATTTCCAATGATGAATGTCATTATATTGTATACCTAAAATGTGCCAATAAAATCAAATTCAAAAAATAGAAGCCCATTCTCTGATTCTCTCCAACTGCTTCTTAAACACAGTATAATGGGGCTTGCTTCAGCAAGGCAAAAGAGAAAGAAGAAGGAACTGAGAAGGACCCCTAATGAGACTAGGAACAAATCAGATCATAAATACATTTAGAGGCAAGGGAAAGTATTCAAGAATGGAGAATTTTGTCTCCCTGATCTCCTTTATCACATTTTCTTTAGCCTCTTGCATCTGATTAATGCAGTTTCTTTCTTACATTTTATTTCAACTTTTTTAGCTCAACAATGCCTTTTCCTATGTTTTTTAAAACCTTTCAGGTCCTTCTGTAAAGTATCTGGTTTTGCTTTTTCTTTCTCCTCTGTTCTGTGAATATCATTAAATCTGCCTCACTCTTGTGCCTGTGAATATGATTAAACTTGCCTCTTCCCCTCCTGGCTGCCTCTCTTCATCCTCCTCCTGGTGTGAACAAGAAAGTCTTCCCTGAGGTCGCTCCGTCTTTTCTTCTGTTCCCATTAAATATTTTTTTTCCTGAAGAGATTATAAGAAGGACAGTTTATCTGTGGTTTTTCCAGGTCTTCCTTCATCTGGAGATGAGCTGTGCTTTCTAGAGCCCTACTCTATCCGTAATTAATCCAGCATGGCCGTGTGCCAGCACCATCAGAACCCCAGGAGTTTGTTAGAAATGTAGCATCCCAGGCCTCACCTCAGACCAAAGAAATCCAAATCTGCATTTTAACAAGATCCATGGGTGACTTGGGTCCGTTTTTTAGTTTGGGAAGGGTTTGGAGGAAAGCCATTTGATTGGGAACCTGAGAGGTCAGAAGGCTTTCCTGAAGCGAAGTGGAAATTTGAAAGAGAGAAGGTGCAATGCTAACAATAGGCCAGAGGGAAACAGCTGATGCATAGTGTGAAAGGGAGCAGGGAATCTGGAGGTGCTGAGCAATTGTGTAGGCCTGAACCAGATGGGAAGAGGACACAGCCCTCAAGAAGAACAGACCCAAGAGCCTCACTTCTGCCAGGAGCATTTCCTGCTCCCAACAGTATATAAACTTGGGAAATGTGCTGCTGGAAAGCTCAGGGCCAGAGATGTTGGTGGCACTAAATCTTGTAAGATCAAAGAATAAACTAAGGTCTCTGGCCAGGACAGCACTGAGCACTTCCCCACCTGCTCTCTTCGCTCCTTGCTGATAGAAAGGGGATGGAATTGGGAAGGAGGTGAGTCAAGAACTCATAGGATTTTTGTGAAATCTTTTTCATCAAGTTGGGCCAAGATCAGGATGCTTTGGCTGGCTCCCATGTTATGTGGTATAACATATGGATAACAAAATCTCTTGAGATTCTGTCTGCCATATGGTCTCAGGGTTATCTTTAGTACTTCAGGACCTCCAAAAGGCCCAATTCATAGGAGGGGAAGGACAGGAAATCATAGAGTATAATTATAACACTGATGACAACTATATCAGAAACAAAAAGAACCAAAAATTATTATCTTGAATGGTCAAATAGGAAAAGCATAAACACTAAGTAAGTTATCAGAGACTAATATTTAAAATCATACTTGAAACTACATTTTTAGTTGCCATATGGTTACTCTAAAAATAAAGTCATTTAGGTTAAATAATACAAAATATTAGCATGTCTATAGTTCTTAATTTACAATCTTAGGGAGAAAAATCTTTAGGATCAGGGGTCCTTGAATGTTCCCGAAAAAAAGCAGCCCTGTTTCCATCATTGATTGAATAGGTAGTCTACACTCAATAAACACAGAATCCTTATAATCCTACTAGCTTCCTTGCCCACATTTGTGGTGATGTATAGCTCTCAGTCTTATGGGGACAAAGCAGACAGAATCAGGAACAAAAATTCATCTCTGAAGGTTATCCTTGCAGGGATCCAACCCTACTGCTGACACCAGTGCCCTTTTAACAGCCATGCCTCCACTTAGCAGCTTCTCTATCTGGAACAACCTCATCTCCCAAGCCTCTGGGGCCTGCAACAGATCCACAGCTGGCTTTACTTAACAGGGTGTCAGATGGGTACCAAGGGGGTTGGACTGGAATACCTATCATCAGCATCCCCACACTGGCCGAACTTGTCAATAAACAAAGTGAGACTCCTTAAAGTCAGAGGAGGTTAAGCTCTCTGTCTGATCCAATATTGCATTTTAGAAGTCTAAAGCACATAAATCCCCTATGCAATTGAGAAAAGTAGTCACTAGCAGTTCTTCCCCTTAGAGAGGGACAGAAAACAAGTGTCCAGCAGCAAGTAAGCCCTACTGAGGGTTTCTACATGTCCTAGGATTTGGAGCCCTCTGCTGATCAATATACAGCAGATTAGCATCCTCGGGGTTCAGGGGATTGTCCTACAACATCTAGGAGGCTGATTCTTCATGCCAAAGGAAAAAATCTTTTTCAGATCTGGGACTCTCCACTGAATGAACAACTAGAAATGTCTCCACACCGAGGTGCTTTTACCAGAGAGCTATGAAGTCAGTGTTAATGTCAGTTGGCCAAATATGACCACAAAAAGACTACCTTAAAAGTATAAGAACATACACCAAGGCCTACAGAGGCATTCCAAACCATTAGTGAAAATGGTGTGTACTAGTCAGAGTTAGGAACACAAGAGGCATGAATTTGGGGTCCATTTCATGTGAACCTGTAACCCTATTCATTATCAGATATCTAAGTAGTTCTTCAAAGTTTGAATGAGGCTATGAGCATAGTGTACAATCAATGATATGGATAGGAGACAAAATAAAAAAGAAAAGAATAGAAATAAGACAGGAAGAAATCAGTGAACTAAAGATATAAACATCAATAGCATTGGTAGAATTAAAAATTAGATATACACATATTTGTTCTGCTAATTAATCATTTTAACCCACCAATTATGCATTCAGTGCCAACTGTTATCTCAAACACATCAGCCACTCAATATCTGACAGAAGAATCAAGTGACCAACAGCTGCCTTGAGTTAGTGTTGTCACCCATTGTTGGCCTACATTACAGAACCTTCTTTGTAATTGGGCAAAGTTGGCCTGGGTGCTTTTGTTTTCTACTCTGTCCTTTTTCCTACACAACTGGCCCCATGAATCTCAAGAATCTGTGACAAGAAAAGGTTTTATGCAAGCTTTACATTAAGTGGGTACTTACATGGAGTACATCAATACTCAGCTGCTGAAAGTTCCGTGATCTCAATTCTTGCATCCGCTTATTATTTTCTTCATACTTTTCTTCCACAATCTTTCTGCAAGTTTAAAATGAATGTAGAAAAATAAATTCAAATTGTTAGAAATCATAGCTATATTATACAGCTAAGTGTGATTCTTATTTCAGCAGGCAGAGAGGAGGGTCAGGAAGCCAGACCATCAGGACGCTCTCGCATGCCACTGCACACCATGCCGCACCCAGCAATTCCCTTTTAAAGCACACACGAGAATGCTCTGGCTTTTTATTCCTCTTTAGATATCCTCAAAACTGGCAGAAAGAAAAGAACAGCCATACCTGTGGATCTTGAGTGTGATGCTGGGGTATCCCAAATGCCCAGCACAGTGCTTAATACATGCTAATAATTAGAAAAATGCTTTCAGCAAAAACAAACTCATAAACAAGGAAAACAGAGCTGCATATCAAGTTTATGGAAAAATACATGGGAATCACTGAAGGAGAATTTTCTACAGACATATTGTCTTTGTTTGCTCTACTACAGGAGAGTTGAGTTTAATAGATGTGCTACTAAGTTGGAAGAAAGCTTTAAGTTCTTATGATTATTTGTATGCTAATTTATACTTAGACTTTTTTTGACAATTCACTGAACATTCTTTTAGCAAAATTCTCTTGTCAGTAAAATAAATGCATTTTAACTCTTCTGACAAGTCATTTTCTAGATAAAATACACAATCCTTCTTGAATCCTAGAACAATGATCAAAACCCACATCCAAATCATTCATAAAATCAAGATTATATTTTATGTAAAATTCATTGCCTTTAAATAATATTATAGTAATATAAAAATATTACTGTGTCGTGTGGAAAATTTATGACTTTCTTTCATCCATAAAAGTAGTTTTAATACAAATAATTTGCAATATACATGTAAATTATTAAATTTGCCTTTTAAATCTATTTCTATCAGATTTAATTTTCCTTTTACCCTCAGCCAATTATGTGAATCATGGTGCTCTGGAGATATTAATGTTTTTTAAGTGTTGGAAATAGAATTGGGGCTATGAGTTGATATAATGACTCAAGCAATTTGTGTGACTATATTTTCTCAGTAAAAACCATACTCAATGTCATACTGGTTTGCAGAAGCCAATTCATATTGGGTCCTGAGAGCAGTTTGTGTATGTAGCTTCCCAAATGAACGTTCAGTAATATCACATTGGTTGCCCATGAAGAAATCCGTACACCACAAGAATCGACCTAATCAGCTACCTCCAAACCCTGAGCTAGTTGCTCAACATTTACCAGCACACTACTGCCCAGGATATACTTTGGTAGAAATCTGTTTCTATACTTGTCAAAGAAAGCATGTGTTAAGGGGAAATAGTCTTTAGATTCTTTGGTTAAACATTATATTTGCTCGAAGCACAAGGATGCCTCTAAATCATGTTTCAGAGATCTTAACATAGTCACAAAATGAACAGATCTGCATTAGGTCTTTTCTTTCTTTCTAGGTCTTGATTGGGACTCCTAAGCTATCAAAAAGTAGGCAGAGGATGGAAGAAGAAAAATTAGAAAATTGTAAAATCGAATAACTGAAAAAGAAGTTTGAGAAATTCAGAGTTCAGCACTCTTTGAAATTCCAACTCTTTATACATGTATATTTTTTCAGCTTTATTAGGTCTGACAAAAATTGTTTACATTTGTAGTGCACAAGCTTATATTTATAGTTTTGATACATGTATACATTGTGGAATGGTTAGAACAAGTTATTTAGCATAGCCATCATCTCACAAACATCATTTTGTGTGGTGAGAACATTTATAACCTACCATCCTAGCAATTTTCATATATAGAATAACTTACTGTCATCACTATGATGTGCAGTAGATCTCTAGAACTTATTTCTCCAGTCTAACGTCTCCTAATCTATGCCCCTCACTCACTCCTGGACTCATCATTCTACTCTCCACTTCCCTGAGTCCAATTATTTTTAGATTCCATATATACATGCAATCATATAATATTTCTATTTCTATACATGGTTTACTTCACTTAGCCTAATGTCCTCCAGGTTCATCCATGTTGTTGAAACTCATGAGATTTCCTTTTTTCAAGGCTAAATCAAATTCCATTGTGTATATATACAGCATATTTCTTTCACAGACACTTAGGTTGATTCCATATTTTGGCTACTGTGAATAACGCTGCAATGAACACATGAGTGTAGATATCTCTTCAACACACTGATTTAATTTCCTTTAGATATAAACTCAGAAGTAGGATTGCCAGATCATATTGAAGTTCTCTTTTCAATTTTTTGAGGAAATTCCATACTGTTTTCCACAATGGCTATGCCAATTTACATTTCCATCAGCAGTGTACAAGAGTTCCTTTCCTCCACACCCTGGCCATTGCTTAAAATTAAACATTTTCATAAAAATACTTGAATTACTAGTGATACCTCCCACCAGCAGTATTCCCCTGAGCACAGACTTTTCTAAAGGCTTTGCCTGAAAGAACAGAGATATTTCCAATTTATTTCCCTCCATAAGGTAACAATTTCTTGCCAGCAAGCTCCTCTCTCCCTGTAGATCAGCTGGGTTTCCCGGCAGAAGCACCTAGGGAATAAGATTGGCATCTCCAAACCTTCTTTTCAGCCTCTTGCTGGGTATATGAAGAAGGTGTCAGCAACACTGAGGGTTCATTTAGAAATTGACTCTATTTTCATCACTAATAACCTACCAAATTTTCAACCTTTTTTTTCACATAGGACTGAAAGCCTGATATAAATAATGCCTGACATCCAATCTATGGCTCAATAATCATCTTTGGAGTGAATGAGTGAATAAACAAATTAATATATAATTATATGCATTCCAGTTTCTTTTCTTGTTCTGTTTTTTTTTTATTCTTTTCAGTAAATCCCTTGAGAGCCTATAAAGTAGTACAAGGCATAGGGTACCCAAGGAAAGGCAGCTTACTTCAGCTTCCTGGCTTTCTCATCTGCTACCTGGAGCTTCCTCAGACGCATCCTTTCTCTCGGCGTCATTTTCTGCACTTCAGACAGTGCCCGCAGAGTCTGCAGGTGGATCTTTTTCTGCCTATAAATAATAAAGATTCTCCACATGCAACCCATACCAAACATACTAAGAAAAATTAAATAAATATTTTATTTATTTAATAAAATTTAGTACATTATTGAGAAACCAAAAGCATCTTGAGACAGGCCAGACAAAAACTAATAAGCAGTGCATAGGTAATGAGCCAACTAGGACTTGAAGTTAACCAGCAATATTTTTCAAATTAGATTTTTGTTTAAAAGCAAATTATGTGCTTTCCAAATTTCTGCTCATTTCATTGCCTAGGACTGGTTTTCATAATGTAAGACAAATTAGGATCTTAGCCATTAGAGAGTAAATAGACTGGCAGAGTAATTCAACCACGTGGATAAAGATATAATTATTGGAGTTAGGCAGCGTTTGAATTCCACCTCCATCACTCTAGCTCTGAGGCTATAGGCCAGAAACTGAACCCCAGTTTTGTCATCTAAAGAATGGGCTACAGTATTATATAAGAATTTTTATGTAAGGGTGCATAAAAAGTATCCCCAAATAATAGTATTATAACAGCCAATTTTTACTGAATTTGACATATTCTAGGCTTAATTCAAAAGGTATTTTATGGCAGGATGGGATAGTGGCTTATCACACAGGTTAACAACACTGTCTGAGTTCAAAACTGAGCTCACAGGTTACATTCCACATGCTGTAGAGCAAGTTATTTAACTTCTCTGATTATTCAAAAAAATACATGGTATCTATTTCATAGGGATGCTCCACATTTAAATGAGTAAATCTATGTAAAGTAAATTTAAGAGTTAACTGTATAGTAATTGCCACTCCCTAAATGTTAGCCAATATTATTTAAGAACCTGTCCATTTTGTTAAAGAAACATGCTTACATCGATCTGGCATAGAAAGACTTATAATCAAATTCTCGGTAACATGAACTTCTATTTCTAACTTGATTAGGGCCCTGTATTGAGAAATGCTTTTTGCACTCAATTCCTTCCTCAAGAAAATTGTAATGACTGCTATAGGCAGTTCTTATCCCTCTGAATATCATCCAGACCAGAGCCTCCAAGGGATGTGCAATTTTTCAGGAATACATATCCATTATTCTGTAAGACCAAACAGATCTACTTAAAACAGAGCCATAGATCTTGGAAATAAGAGGGACTAATTGAAATCAATATTTCATAATGTGAAGTACCCTACTAACTATTGGATTCTAGCACACTGTTGATTATAAACAGTGTCAGGCAAACGGTTTCATAATTCCAATGCAAAATCATAGCTAAAATTAGCTCAATATTTTAAAGATATCGCCTACTTTCATATCCTAGTTAAAAAAATAAAATTAGAAGCTCCAACTCTTCTGGAAAGAATAAATGGTAACCCAAGAAAACAAGGCTGTTATGAGCATGCCTAAAAATTTACCCCCCAAGATGCAATGGACTTTAACTGGAAATTGTGCATTAGGCAGATGTCTTTGATGGTCCAGTTTCCTTAGTCTGAATCTAAGAATGGAAAACAAACATGCTGCAGTCAGGAAACCATCCAGCTGAGTGCCAGAAGAGTGCATTTGGCTATTTCACCTTGAAGGTCAGTCTGTTGAGGGCCCTTATTGCCTTGCACACCTTTAGGAAGAGACTGCTATACTCTTTGGGTCCTTATGAGATTAAGTAGAGTTCTTCCAACAAAATTATAGATTTAGTCTTTAAAAGAAATATCCCCTAGAGTTGTGCAGTGGACATCATGCACAATTGTATAAAGATGTTCCTATATAGCCCCGTAGTTTGGGCTACTGCAAGTTGCAGCACAAAAATTCTGAATGAGGAGAAAGAAAAGTTAGGCCAAGAATTCATTATAGTTCTTAGGGAAGCATGCTTTCTGTAGTTCTTATGTATATGTATATTTCAAGAAATTAATTTTAGTTTATTTTCAATTGTCCCAGGATGAAACAATATTCTCCTTAAGCAGATATTCTTCCAGTTCACACTAAACAAACAACATATGAAAGCCATTTATGCTTATTACCATGGAGAGATCATTAACATAAATATTAGTATATTATATTGTTTGCAATATTAATTTCTCTATGCACTTAGGAGGCAACTGTAGAGCTATCCTGCAGCTCTGCAAGCATGTAGTGGTTTAAACTTTTATGACTGGAATTTGCTACCACCTGGGGCAACAGCTTTGGAACTTGTTCCTGAAGCACCTTAATTTCTTGGCAACACTTAAGTGAATTCTAGGAAGTGCCATGTAGTCAGCTTAGCCCTAATAGATTTTTAAAGATAAACACACTTAACATTTATGCTGGGTGGGCTTTTTAAAAATAAAGCAATTACTTACATGGCATTAATTATATAAGCAGCTTCCTTCTGACAATCCAACTTCTTGTCTTTCATAGTCATTTCCGAATATTTATGTATCAAGTGCTGGGGGAAAAAAAAAACCTTAAAGGCTCTTCTTTAGCAATGAAAGGGCATAAAACTACCATGTGCCTTCTCTCTGATTTGGAGGATTACTGACCATGGGAGGGAGCTTGAAAACAAAGCTCATGGTAACTACTGTTCCCTTTGAATGGTTCACATAAAATTTCATGGAAGCTTATGGAAGAAGATCTTGCAGGGTCAGGCTGCTGTCTACCTCTTCAACGTCACCTTACCCTGTCACTCCTGGCCTCCCCCACACACAGGCCTCCTCCAGCTCCAAGCACACACAAGCCTTTCCCATGGCAGCCTTTGATGGACAAGATACAAGCTCCTCTGGCCACGACTAGGCTGAGGCAAAGGGAATATCCACCTTGGGTACAGGAGGCCACCAAAAACTCAGCCTCTGAGATGAGTAATATTTTAATATACTATTTTGTTAAAAATCAAAATTAAAGGGCAACCCACTTTCCGGTCCCCCTCTGTCTCTATTAGACAGAAGCAATCTTTCTCTCGATAAATTTTTCTTACTCTTAAAAATCAAAATTAATGCAAAAAGCTATAAAGAATACAATATCAAAGGTTTAAATAAATATCCAAACACGAACTTGCACAACTCTATTTACTCTACTCTAATGCCAGGCCCTGTTGGATTATTTTCTTAAAGTTTAAGTGTTTTGCTTGTTGCCAGGGATTATTAGGATTAATTTGGATTATTTTTTTAAAGAAAAAGAGTCAACTTTTAATTATAACTGACCAAACTTCATCCAGGAATGTCTTTGAACAATGGAGGCAAAAAACACGACAAAATTCTCCTACTGAAGACACCAAGAGTTCTCGTTGGCCCCGGTGCTCCTGAGGCCCAGACCAAGGGCAGAAGTTCCCCGAGGCCAGCTCTGCTCCCCTCACATCTCTCATCATTGCAAGGATGGCTGGGGACAGCGAGGAGCCTATCCCCTCCTCCTGTCTCGCCGCAGCTCTGAGGAAGTCACTGCTCGGCGAACCTCTCCTGCCTCACTTCCTGTCCTAAGGTGACCGGAGACCATCTGGCCACAGTCTGGAAACCCAGCAATGGGGCACAGTACCCCTGTGCCCCCTGGCCTTCAGCCACGGCACCGCTTCAGTCTGCTCGGCCAGTTGCTTTTGGTGCCCTGGCAGGGATTAAATAAAAGGTGGTGAAGAACTGAAATGCCCTAAGGTCTCCACAATGCAAGTCACATAGCAGAAGTAAAAGAACGGCACTAAGGATGGGAGGCCCGGCGGTCAGAAGACGCGCTCGAACTCTGTCATTAATTTGAATTTTTAAGCTATTGCCTTAAAACGTTATTTATCTTGATTATGAGCTTTTGGTGTTAAGTTTTCCCCAGGGCAAGTGCCTCTCACTTGTCTCATCCGACTCTTGGCGGATCCCCTAGGACTTCCTGCCCCTCTTTGTTTTTTGCTTTCTGTACATTCATGGCTGCTTCAGAGTATTTTTTGATCCCAACAGCTAGCACCAATATCTCTCTCAGAGGACTATCCATGTGATGCAGAAGCACAGAGGGCAAGCTGGAAAGAACTCAGGACTTCAGCTGGCCTCTCTGTATTGTCCTGCTTCCCAGGACTTCTCAGCTTCCCCTGGCAGCAGGTCTTTGCATAAGAACCTTCCCTTCTCTGTCTGCTTCCAGGGAACACCAGTTAACCCAGGCCCTTCATACCTGGTGCCATGTTCTGTTACTTAAACACTCTTTCTGTTGCTTCTTGTAGGCTCACTGATGTTGAACTGGCACCTATTTCTTCTCTAACTAACCCCCCACCCCCTTTTTTATAGTGTCCTACTTACTTTCTCCCTACTGTTTGAGATTATTTGTTTGCCTATTGGTCATTAGGTTTTTTCACTAGCTGTCAAACTTCAGAACAGGAACCATGCCTGTACCTTTCATTCTGGTCTTCCAAGTGTCAGCACAGAGCTCAGCACTCAATAGTGACCACACATCTCCATCATCTGCTTTCTTTGCATTTACACCTCGGCTCCCTGACGAAAGACATTCGAGTTTTGGAAGGTGGATGACTGCTCTGTGGTTTCTATTAAAGTTACTATAAAAGATATTCAAGCTTCCTCTGTTTTTATCACAGTAGCTCTGTAGTATAATTTCAGATCAGGGATTGTGATGCCCCTGCCTTGCCTTTGTTGCCCAGAATTGTTTTGGTTATTCTAGGTCTCTTCTGGTTCCTAATGAATTTTAGCAATGTTTTCTTCAGTTCTGTGAGGTATGCTACTGGTATTTTGATTGGGATTACATTAAATCTGTGTAATAATTTTGGGAATATGGCCATTTTTACTCTGCTAGTTCCTCCAACTCACAAGCAATCTTTCCATGGATAAAGATATCTTTCCATGGATAAAGATATCTTCTTTTTTTTAAGATATCTTCTGATATCCTCTTTAATCTCCTTTTTTAGAGTACTGTAGTTTTCAATGTAAAGATCTTTTACTTCCTTTGTTAGATTGATTCCTAAGTATTTCATTTTTTTTCAATACTATTGTGAAAGTCATGGTTTCCCTAATTTCTCTCTCAGTAAGTTTGTTATTTGTGTCCAGGAATGCTATTGATTTTTGAGTGTAGACCAGAGGATCAATGGAACAGAACAGAAGATGCAGAAACAGCTCCAAACACACTCAGCCACCTTATCTTTGACAAAGGGGCCAAGTACTTTCACTGGAAGAAAGATAGCCTCTTTCATAAATGGTGATGGGAAAATTGGCTTTCCACATGCAGAAGGCTAAAACTAGATCCATGTCTCTCACCATGCACTAAACTAAAATAAAAATGAATTAAAGATCTAAATATTAAAACAGAAACACTAAATATACTTGAAGAGAGAATAGGTGGAACTCTTGAAGACTTAGGTGTAGGCAAAGACTTTATGAACAAAACCTCAGTTGCACAGGAAATATTGCAAAGAATCAACAACTGGGATTTCATCTTATTAAAAAGCTTCTGCACAGACCCAATCCAAAAATGGGCATCTGAGATGAATACACACTTCTCAGATGAACAACTACCAACAGTAAATATTTGAAAAGATATTCAACATCACTGGTCATTTGAGAGATGTAAATTAAAACAATGATGAGATTCCATCTCACTCCAGAAAGAACGGCTATTATCAAGAAATCAACCAGTAAAAAATGCTGACAGGGATGTGAGAAATAAAGGAACCCATCTCCATTGTTGGTGGGAGCAGACATAGATTGGTGTAACCACTGTAGAAATCAGTGTGGAGAGTTCTCAAAAAACTAGGACTAGAGGTTCCATTTGACTCAGCTATTCCCTTCTTGGTATCTTCCCAAAAGAATTAAAAGCATCATACCACAGTGATATATGCACACCCATGTTTATAGCAGCACAGTTTTTAACAGCTAAATCTGGAAACAACACAAATGCCCATCAACCAATGAATGGATAAAGAAAATGTGGGGGGTTTTATACAATGAAGTACTAGTCCATCATAAAGAAGCATAAACTTGAAACATTTATAGCTAAATGGATGCAACTAGAGACCATACTCTTAAGTGAAATAAATTGGACACACACATGTAAATATCACATTGTTTCTCTGGTGTGAGAAACTGAAAGTGTAAATAAGGACCAAAATGTATAATAGATACTGTGAAACAGGAAGAAAATGTTCAAATGGGAAAGGGAACAAGGGAGGAGGGAGAGGGAAAAAGAGAGAAAAGAAAAAAAAGAGAAAAGAAAGATAAAATGGAAACAAAGATCTTGTAAATAAGAAGGGGAAGAGGAGTAGAAAGGAGGGGAGGGGAATGGAAAAAAATAAGAATCAAGATATATCATGTACAGGTACAAATTCCATACGATGAATGTGATCATTAAGTATATTGAAACTGTACCATTAAACTTAATTAATTATTTTTAAAAACTTACTCTGCAGTTCCTATTAAATCAGAGGAAAGTGAGCTAGGTGTTGTGGGGCACAGCTTCAATCTCAATAATCTGGGAGACTGAGGCAGGATGATTGCAAATTCAAGCCTAATCTGGACAACTGAGTAAGACTCTGTCTCAAAATAAAAGGACTGGGGATTAGCTCAGTGTTAAGGCTCTGCTTTTAATCCCCAGAGCCAAAAAATAAAAAATAAAAATAATCAGAGGAAACTTGCTTGAGGGATTAGTATTGCAAAAGCTTGGGAAGTTAAAAAAGAAAAGAAGAGAAAAGAAAAGAAAAGAAAGGAAAAGAGACCCTCACAGAGGCTTTTTTCTTACCTCCTGAGGCAGATCCTCCATATTAAATTTTCAACTCCACAGAAAAACAAAATAAACTCAATGAATAAAACATTAAATATTGAATTATATAATAAAGAAGTGGAATAATAAATGCTCAATGAAAATTCAAGATTTTAGTGTTACTATTAGTACACTGTCATACTAGCAGTGATGTATTTCCAACGTACTGAGGTATGCCCACCAACAAGCCATAAGGCTGGATATGGAGTTTAGGGAGGAAATCAGAGCCCTAAGGTCCCATTTCTGGTGGCACTAGGGAAGCAGAATTTCTATACCGTCTTCTGCAAAGAGACTGTCATGACTTAATGTTTCTCTTAGCTTCTTGTTAATCTTGTTCCTCTTTTCTTTTTGACTGATTCTTAATATTTCAGCAGCATATCCTCAAGTCATAAAATAAATGCTAATACCCTTTCCCTAGTAGTCTTTTAATTTTAAATACCTGTAGTTGTTCATCAATGTAAGGAATTTTTAAAATTTCTATGGCAGATGGTCTCAACGAAGGACTCTTGTGCAACATGCTGTAATGTTCAAAAAGAAAATTATTTTTCAAATGAACTAAAACATAATCGCATTTAAAAGTAATAACATAATTTAAAATTATTTCTGGGACAACAGATTTGTTTCCAAACCTTTCCATGATGGTGTTTAGTTCTCTTGGATATCTCTCAGGGAGTGAAGGTGTATTGCCTTCAACAATTTTTAAAACAATGGACAAGAAACTGGAGCCAGTGAATGCATGATTCATACAACACATCTCATACAAAATGCATGCCAATGACCTGAAGACAAAAATCAAAGAATATAAATAAGGAACAAATGTATGATTTTAAATTTGCTCATCATATGAAACCTCAGAGGTATGGGGGCATTGGCTGTGAGGCACTAATGTACATACATTTCAGTTGTTTGTTTGAAAGTTGCAGTTTCATAGCGGTGTTTTTCCCCATTTAAATGCATATTTATCAAAACAAACACCCATTTTATAAAGTGAAGGACTAAAGCACAAAGGTAAAACTGAATGGTTGCTTTTTTCTGAAGAGGAAAAAGTAAACCAACAGAGGCCAGGGATTTAGCACAGTGGTTCTGCCACCTTCCTTGCAAGCACAAGGTCCCAAGCTCGATCCCTGGAAGCAAAAAATAATAATAATAATAAAATAAAAATTAAAAAATTAAAAACCTAACAGTTAACAAGATGCCAGCACATAGTAAGAATTCTAAAAATCTGATCAATGTGGTAAGAAATGTTTAAATTATCTTCTATGCAAGAAAAATAAAATGTAGCTAAATATTGTCTTCCTAAGGCAATTTTTAATACTATGTATGCAAAGTACAACTTTAATTTATCACCCTAACCTTCACTGTGTTTTGCATCTATGCATTTTGAAAAGGAAACTGGAATTCTTTACTAGTTTTCTGAATATAATCCATTTGCAAGTAGTATGGGAGAGCAGCTACTTTCAGCCCATATTAAAATGTATAATTCTCCCTTGGGGAGTATGAAACAGAATATTAAAGTCCAGATCAAGCCAATGCTGATTTGGATTAACCACGCAAATCAGTAACCTCTATCCCAGCAGAGCAGCCTCTTCAATTGCTCTATCTTATAAAGAAAACTAACAAGTAAATTCCTCCCTGAATCTAGTATTAAGACTATGTTTTTTCTAAATGATAGATTCTTTTTAACCTTATGGGTATTATGAATTATGTAGCTGGACAGGTTTTGCTTTAACGTATTAGTTGCTTAAAAGATTAGAAATAAATTTATGTAACTTTTAACACTAAATCATGGAAGGACATAAGTAAAAAAAACTATTTATAAGAATATTACAATTTATTTTGCAGTTGTTCATGAAAATGTGCATGTATTAAACAATTCTGGATATATATATCAAGAATTTTCCATCCCAGTAAATAATAACACTAAAAAAATTTTTAAAATTCTTTTCTTGGTACATTTTAGGTATACAATACATTTACATTTCTCATTGGGAACTTGTACCTTTACATTATGCACCTTGGTTCTTATTTTTTCCCCATTCCCAGCCCTCCCTTCACCCCCTCCACCTTTCCCTATTTACAAAGACTTTGTTTCCATTTTTTCCACTTCTCATAATTTTTCTTTTCCCTTCTTTCCTTTTCCCTGGCCCTCCCACTTCCCCTACCCCTTTGGACCTTTTCTTCCTACTTCGCATTATCAATTATTTATTCTAATTGTTGGTACATTTTAGGTATACAATATATTGACATTCATCTTTGGAAATTTGCACCTTTACATAATCTCTCTTGGTTCTTATTTTTCACCCTTGCCCAGCCCTCCCTTCAACCCCTCCAGTCCTCCCTATTGACAAAGATTTTGTTCCTCTTTTTTCATTGTCTCATATTAATCCCATTCCCTTCTATCCTTTCCCCTAGCCCTCCCACTTCCTTCCCCTTTGCCCCTTTTCTTCCTATTTCACATTATCTATTATACATTTTAACACTAAAAATTTTTAAGTGATTGGTACTTTACATTTTTTAAAATTTTCATATATATCTCAACAGAAACTCATAACTTCCCAGTGAACAAAAGTCAATATCATATTTTCCCCATTTCATAGATAAGGAAATTGGCTCAGACTAATTAAACAACTTGGCCAAGGTCACACAGGGAGTGAATGATAGAAGTGACTCTTGGGTTGAGACATTTTCCTTTCCAAGTCCCATATTATTTTAATTAGAAAGAAGCAGAATGTTAGGAGAAATCACATGGCACCAACTAGAACACCAAGATCATTGTAAAGAGTATTAATTATGAAAATTATTTGAAGCTCAATACATTTTGCATCTGTCTGTAAGACTATTGTATCTGATGCAGCAACATGTACTTAGATTTTATTCCCAGAAAAAAATTTCCTTTGAATAAAGATGAAATAATAACATTTTTAGACAACACAGTTCATTGTGAAAACACTACAAAATCACCATAGGGAGTTCTAATAAAGAAAAATGATTCCAGGCAGAAACAAAGGATACAAGAAATAAAGAGTGCCAAAAAGAATAATTTTGTGAATGTGAATGTATAAAAATTGATATTAACTTTATAAAATAATATTAAAAATATCTTTTGTGGTTAAAAAATTGTGTAGAATAAAATTTATGGCAAAAATAATGCAAAAGACATAAGTGAGTTAAAGTATTTTAAAGTCCTTGCATTACTGAAAAAGTGGTTAAAATAATAATTTTTACTAGACAGTAATAAATCAAGGGTTCATGTTATAGTTTTTATGGTTTTTATCAAATGAATGGTACAACAATATACAACTGACTATAACAAGCTGGTAGAGAAAAAAATCAAATTACAAAGATTTAAATCAAGAAAAGGAAGATAAAGAGAAAAATGAACAGAATAAGTGAGACATATAGAAAGCAAATAAAATAATGAATAAAAGTACAAATATAATCACATTAAATATAAAGGAGCAATGCTCTAAAAGACTAAGATTATCAGGCTAAAAAAATATAAACTGCTCACAAAATAAACCTTAAATATAAGAGCACAAGAAAGCTGAGAAAAAGATGTATCATACAAACACTTCCGGAAAAACTGCTAGTGTAGCTACACTAGTATCAGACAAAGTAGATTTTAAGGCAAGAATCCCTACTGAGATTAAGATGATGGACTTGATAGAGAAATAAGCATCAGAAACACATAACAATTCTAAATCTGAATACACCAAATAAAACTGTGTGTATGAAGCAAAAGCTGACAGAATGAAAAGGAAAAATAAGTTCTCAATCACAGTGATTCACAGTCACACATATTTCAATAGGTTACAGAACAAGTAGACAAAAAAAGTAATTAGGATAGAGAAAATCTATACAACACAAATACTGAAATTGACAAATTGGCATAAATGCACCAAATAATGGAAAAATTAAAATTATTTTCAAGGACACATGGAACATTTATCAAAACTGACCATACTAGGAGTCAAACAAGCCTCAATAGGTTTCCCAGATCAAAATCTTGAGAGCATATTCTCTGACCACTCTGAACCTAAACTAGACATAGGACAAAGAGCTACTCAGAGAGAAAAAGTACATAATGGAAAAAAACTACAAAACCTCAATCATTTGGAAATTAGGGGTATACATCTAAGTAATCCTTAGCTTAAACAAAAATCATTAAAATTTGAGTGGTGGAGGGTGAGGTACTAGGGAATGAACCGAGAGCCTTTGCCCTGAGTTATATCCCCAGTCTTTTTATTTTTTATTTGGAGACAGGGTCTTATGATGATGCATACCTGTAATAACAGTTGTTTGGAAGGCTGAGGCAGGAGGGTTGTAGGTTTGAGGGCAGCGTAGAAAATATTTTTAACTGAAAGCTATTTAAGGTGTAAAATATCAACACTTATTGAGTGTAGGTAATGCAAATTCAAATAAAAATGAAAGTATTAAGTGCATATATTAAAAGAGAAAAAAGGTTAAAATCTGTGATGAAAGTAAACTTAGAAAAAAATAACAAATCACATTAAAGAAAGTGTAAAGAAATTTTTTAAAAGAGCAGAAATTAATGAAGCAAAAATTTAATAAAAATAGAATTAGCAAAGACTAAGCAAATTTAATAGACCTCTAGTAAGACTTATCAAAAGAATGAGAAGAAAAAACACAATAAATAATGGAACTGGAAAAAGGCATGACACTATAGACTTCACAGATATTAGAAGACATTAGGCCAGCACTATAAACATTTTTTCCTTCAGTAAATTTGACAATTTAGGTGCAATGAATAGTCTTTAAAAGATGGAACTTACCAAATTGACACAGGAAAATATAGAAAGTCTAAATAGTCCCTTATTTATTAAACAGACTAGCCATTATTTAACATTATAAAATTGAAATGTTTTCCACAAAAAAACTCTAGATGCAGATGGATTTACTAGCAAATTCTTCCAAACATTTAAAAAATAAATTACACCAGTCTTATAAAATCTCTGCATTTTGTAAACCAGAAAAACATTAATAATAAAATATAATAAATATCTTAAAGGAAAGAAAAATTAGGTGAATTTCTTCATGAATGTAAATTCAAAATCTCAAAACACACATATGCACATATATATTAGCAAGTAGAATATGGTGACATGCTAAAACTACTACATTATGACCAAGTAAATTTTATTTCAGCAACACAAGGTTAACTTAACATTTCAAAATCGATTAATAAAATATACTTCATTAGAGGAAAAAAGAGAGAAATATACTATTATTTTGATAAATATGGAGAAAAGCATTTCATAATATTATAGACCCAAGGCAATAACAATCAAAATCCTAGTGGACTTTTTTAAAGGAACTGTCAGGCTGATTATAAATTTACATGGAAATGCTACCAAATGTCAAGTTCTATTATGAAATTATATAACTTATGTAAATGTGATATTGCAGAAAGTAAAAAAGACCAATGGAACAAAATATAACTGTTCTTGAAAATAGAATTACACAAATTTAAATCACTTGATTAATGCAAAGATAAGCTCTACTGCATAGTAGTGGAAACATGGTCTTTTTATCAAATTATGCTGGGTCAACTGAATATCAATATGAAAGCAATGTATTTGGATTTCTGTTTCATATCATACACTCAAAAAAACCAAAACACCAGTTATACATTAATCTAACTGGGAGAAATAAATCATAAAACCTTTAAATAAAAACAGGAGAATATCTTCATGTAGGCAAAGATTCCTTGAGGCACAAAAGGCATTAACAATAAAATTATGAACTTCTTTTTTTATTA